TATATTCATTGTATTAGTGATTAAAACTGAGAAAGTGAAAAGATAATTCTTTTTAATATAAAAGTAGTTCATCCATTATACCAATAACTATTTCCCAAACTAAAAAATTTTGTGTAGCAGTGTTACTTAATTTACTTTGTTTGCACATCCTTTACTGTCTGGCTTAATAGATCCAGTTGTATTTTCATACCAGCTTCTGCCTTCAGTCTGTTACAATATCAGATGAAATACAGTCTCTGGAAAACTCCACTGTATACCTGAGAGAAAATGTGTAAAAAGGCCAATGATGTCTGAATATTGTTATAAAAATTAGTTTAGATGACACGGATCACCTACTAGTATCTTTCAAGATCTCTCAGATGTTAAGCTCTTTCCTTGAGTCCCACAGCATCATTTGATACAAATGTGCTTTATATACATAATACAGTTTGATACAAATGTGTCCTATATACATATAATATTTTTGTACATAGATGTCTTAAAATTACTTTGGTAGATTTTTTTTTGTTATAGGATTCACAATGTGGAGATTATATATACTTTAACTGACTTTTTTTTAATCACGAATAACCTTGGCTAATCAGAATACTCACTGTGTTCAATTTACGTTAAAGAATATGGCTCTCTAATAGTTATTCCATCCCATGACAAATCCCAGTTTTCTTGTATGACATATGTGTGTGCATGAGTGTGTGTGTAGGAAAAGACAATCACTTTTGAAATTTTTAACACAAACGTTCTATAACATCCTACTGATTCTCACCTCCATGATAAGTAACTTAAATGGGCAAGATCAGAATGCCACAGTAAAATGCCAAGGAAGCAACATTGCAACATTGTCATTTGCTACCTTCCAGAAACAGGACCATCTGTCAGTTGTTGGATAAAATCACTGAAGTGTTACAATGGCAGATAATTTTATGAAAAGTATAAAAAAGTTTAATCAAAAGTTGTTTTGTATATAGGCAAACAATCTATTTAAACACAGCCTGTTTAAAATGTGACACTTTCTTATGTGATTAAAATCAATATTTGAACAACTAACTTAATAAATGGATATGTGCACATACATACTGACGACCTTCCATTGTGAAGCCTAAGCACTTGCTGCTGGTAAGGACCCCTGCTGAGGGCTCTGGGTAGCCTGTTCTCCAAAAACCACACCTGCAAAGCATGTTCCTCAACTTCCAGCTTCATCTTCTTCCCTCTGGCCCAGAAACTTAGTATGTTTGTAACTCGTTTGAATGCAGATCTTTCTAGATATTTTTTACTACAATTCCCATCTGTAGATGGCTCACCCACATCTAATTCAACAAATGTATGTTAGTTTTCTTCAACAGGTCTTTCTGATTTTTCATGTGAACTACAGCTTCTTTTTCATAGTCATTTCATACGTGAATATAGAATTTCATTTAATTCCATTCGTTCAGTGGCCAATATTATTAGCATAAACCGGCTGACGCCATGTAACTAGTGGAAAGGTGTATGAGAGGGCAGAAGAACATAACTCTGCAACCACATATATTCTACATGACCTATAAGTCAGTATGCTTTTTTTCTCCAGATCTTATTTTTAGAGTATTTTTAAATTCACAACAAATGTGGGGGAAGGTTTCCCATATATGCTCTTCCTCCTAACGGAATAGTTCCATACATATTAGGTTCGCCCATAATGAGCCTGATTTGGCATATAATTATCCCAAGTCCATAGTTTATATTATGATTCATTCCTGGAGTTGTTCATTATATGTATTTGGACAAATATATAATGGCTTATACCCATTATATAAATAATGTGTGTGTGTGTGTGTGTGTGTATGTGCATACAGAACTGGGGTATAGACTAGAGGTTCAGGGGCGGCGAGAGGCTTCACCATAGACAGAGTGGGGAGCAGAACAGGCAGATCGACGAAGTACACTGCTGAAGGGAGCAGCTTTAACTGTGCTTTAACCTGCTGTGCCACCAGGGAAGGCCTAAAAGCTTTTTTTTTTTTTTTCTTTAACACCATTTATGTTAAGAATTCCAAAAGTGATTCTCTTTTACACTGCTCTTTTACATTGTTCTCTTCCTAATCATCCCTGCCCTGCCCTAGGTAACACCTGAGCTTTTTACTATCTTGATAATTTGCCTTTTCGTTTAAGGTGCTTTCACTCATATGCATTTACAATTCTTCCATTTTCTTTGCGTGGCGAAAGCTCACTTCTTTTAACACTGAAAAATATTCCGTTGTCTTGATGAACCACATTTTATCCTTTCCTTAGTGAAGAACAGCTTGGATGTCTTCAAATTTTGGCAGTTATGAACAGAGCTTCTATAAGGTCTTGTGTGGTTTTGTACAGCCCTACATGTTCATTGGTTAAATGAAGTGATTTTTATTCCTTATATTTCAAGGAGTAAACTGGAGAGTATCCAGGATTCTTAAGATCAGCTTTGGGGACAGTTGGCCTTAAGAATACCAAATGTGTTGTTTGAATGTGAAAAGTTAAGACAAAATTTAGTTAAACCATAGTAGGTACACCCATATATCCCACACCAAAAATTCAGGAGAAATGTTACCTAACCTTAATCAATTTAGGTCATTCTACCTAAGGTATCCTATTAAAATTGAGGTCCTGTTGAAACATTCTAACTTCACCCAAATATATGTACATACATCTTCACAAAGTCAAATGCATTGAGATATACATGCTTGGATTTTAACAAGTTGTTCAAGGTTTTTTTGTTTTTGTTTTAAGATTTATTTATTTGTGCATACAGAGCTGGGGTACAGGCCAGAAGTGCAGGGGCAATGAGAGGATTCACCAGAGACAGAGTAGGGAGCAGAAGAAGCCAACTGACAAAGTACACTGCTGAGGGGAGCACTGGGGGGTCAGGAGAGGTCTGACCCACCTTGTGGGTCACCTCTGGGGCAGGATCAAACTCATGCTCAAGTGGCTTTAGCTTCTTAGTACTGTGCTTTAACTCACTGTACCACCAGGGAGGGCCCTGTTCAAGTTTTAAATACAGTTGAATCTTCCTTTCAACTCCAAATGTAATGCAAAGACAAATGGAATGTACACACTTCAAAATCAAGATGGATATGAATGAGAATGACCCATTAGAGGAATCCAGACGTTTTATTAGTATTTTTGAAGACAGCTCTTCTGCTACTGGCACTGAGCTCAGGGGTCTGTACATGCAGTTTGCATTACTAAAAGGAGGAGGAGACATTTTTTTTCTGGGGAGGAGAGTGGAATGGTGTTCTGGTGATAATGTGAATCTCATCAGCACTGTGAGTTTGTATTACATGAGTGATATAGCTGGAGCTCGAGCCATCAGCCAAGAATCAGCACTCAGCAAAATTGACTGAGAGCCAGGCTTGACCAGCTGCAAAGTCATTGTTCACAGTGAACACTCAAAGGAGTCACTGAGGTGAAGAGACTTTCAGAGACTCTCATATCAGCATTTAAATCAAGTTGAACATGGGAAAATTATTTTCTAATAGGGAGTGTTTGTTTAGAGTCTGCCGTGAGCTTCGGTCCCCACTGGTCCTGTGACCAGTATGGTTGCAGTATGAATTAGAGTTTACATTTTTTTTTTTTCTAAGAGAGGCAGTTCTTTTATATGATGCTAAATTTTGGCTCAAGACAAATAGAAAAACAGTGGAGATTTTTGAAGAATACCCTTTAACTTGTACCAAAATTAATTTTATGTTTCTCATTTATTTTTTCTTATGCTCATTCAGTGTTTTTATATTAGATTCTCAAGAATGCCATTGGCATTAAAATACATAGGGCACTTTCATGTTTCATTGTAATAAAATCTTTAATATCCTTAAAACCTTGTTATCTAACCAACCTGAATTCTTTCTTAATCATGTTTTCTGCTAATGTCATTATTTCCACAAGTACTGCATTTTCTGTCTAGATCCAAAAATTCCAGAAGCACTCACCTAGTAAAATAATTATCACTACATTTAGTCTGTTTTTAAGCAGTTCCTTTGCAACAGGCATTTATGGAAAACACATTTAACACATTACCCTATTCATTCCTCAGAATAAGGTATGTTTGAGAGCAGGTGCGTTTACTCCTTTGTACACATAAAATTGCTGTACAAAGGGGTTTTTAATTTGCCAAGGATTACACACTTAGTATATGGTGGAGTCAATCAATCAGGTTTTCAGAATCTAGAGCCTGAGCTTTGAAATCCTCTGTCATAATGCTGATTAAATTGATGCGCACACTAGAGCTGGTGTGAAGACAGGTCTAGGAATTAGCACTGTGCGTCACTCATTTCATGAGACACAAAACTCTTCACTCCCTTAAAGAAGTGGCCAGTGAAGGAGGGCATGAGAATCCCTGTGCTTACAAAGGCCACTGCAAGCTGAAGCAGACATCTATGTTGTTTTGGCCCTGTCTCAAAGTATTCCCTGCTTGTTGTCGATGTGTCAGAATCATGACTTGAAGTTGCTGCAAACAACAGCAGGCTATCGAGACATAATGTTAATTACCTACCAGCTGACTTGGCATAGGATGTAAACAGTCAGCCACGCCACTGAGTGATCATACATGCTGCAGACAGGAAAATCAGTGATCATACATGCTGCAGTTATGAGATGCCATCAAGATCTTCATTAGTTGGAAGGTGGTAGATGAAAATTGGACTCTCGGCACTCCCTGGTGGTGCAGCGTGTTAAAGCACAGCACTAAGAAGCTAAAGCCACTTATGCATGAGTTCGATTCCTGCCTGCCCCGGAGGAGACCACATGGCGAGGCAGACCTCTCCTGACCCGCCTGCTGCTCCCCTCAGCAGTGTACTTTGTTGATCTGCCTGTT